TTCTGATGTTCTATTCAAAGTTGATTAAAATACCAGCCCTGCTATCCAGATACCACCTGTGCTGAGCTTCTACAGGCAATTTCTGCTGCAACAACTTCAGCTCTCAAACCCAGTCATACCCCACTGCAGCAGCAGCAGCAGGAGCTGCAGGGCTCCTGCTTCCCTTTGACTTCAAATTATTTCAGAATCTTCCAAAATTACACCATTCATGGTTTTCTGAGTGGCTAAATAACAGGGCATTGGAATACTAATTGTTCATTGATATATAAAGGCAAATGAGGGAACTACAGTTTGAATTTGGTCTGTTGAGTTACAACTGAATGGAGGCAGGTCTACTGCTGACTGATTTCTTTTACCCTTCTATCTTCATCACACATGTCACTTGTCCCACTATACTCTAACTTTCTAAAAGGAGTAACCAGGACTTTAGGTCTACTTCGCTATTGGAATCACCAAGTGAATAAATTGTTTGGCTAATTAATTAATATATAGTTTGTGGGCCTGGGTTCTAGTCATGACTAAAAGATATGTATGTGCCCTCCCTAGTGGCGCAACAGATTAGGACGCAGCACTGCAAGCTGGCTGTAGCTGCTTCAGCGTGAGTTCGATCCCCGGCCCCAGAGGTGCTCCCCTCAGCAGTGTACTTCCTTCATCTTACTGTTCTGGCCCCCCACCCTGTCTCCGGTGAATCTCTCACTGCCTCTATATCCCAGTTCTGTATGAATGAATAAATCTTTTTTAGAAATAAAAGATATGTACAATTTGGACCTACTTACATTCTTGACATGTGCATGAGTAAATTTTAAACTCCATGAATTGTTAGTGATATATGGTGTAAATGCCTGTACATAGTTTGCTTGTGCATAAAATGCTTTAACTTGAGAGGTGAAATTGAAAGAATTAGTGAGGTTGATGTGTTAAGGATAAGGAGGATAACAAGCAATATCAATGATATCGAAATGCGGGGAGCAGAATAGCCCATATTAAAAACAAAACAAAACTAGAAACAACAAATGCTGGCAAGGATATGGTGAAAAGGGACCTCTCTTACACTGCTGGTGGTAATGTAAACTGGTCCATCTCCCTGAGTGGAGATTCCTCAAAAAGTACAAATGGAAATACTATTTGATCCAGTGATTCCATTCAAAGGAATCTACTCAACAGGAAACCACTAATTTGAAAGGAAACCTGCACCCCATGTTTACTGCAGCACTATTTACAACAGCCGATATATGGAAGCCACCTAACTGCCCCAAACTGATTAATGGATAAAGAAGATTTGGTACTGAAGAGTGCTAAAGATAAACTCACACCTTTGTGGCAACATGGATATAGTTGGTAGAAAAAAGATAACTATCAGATGGCTTCACTTATATGTGGAATATAGAGAAACCAAACAAAGGGTCAGGAAAAAAACAAAATTTGCAAGCTGATCATAGATTGGAGGCACACAGCAGGGAAGGACTCGAAGCAGGGGAGGAAAAGCACAAGGAACTATGGAGATGGAGCACAGGTTCTATGGTGGTGGGCAAATTATCGGGACTATACCTCAGGGGAGAAATCAAGTATTGCCCCAAAATTAACAATGTCATAAGAAAACAAACAAACAAACAAACAAATAAAAGAAATGTGGGAAGATGTAAATCTCCAGGAATGATGTAAAGAGTAAAGAAGATATATATTTATGGTCATATTTTCTAGGAAAAAAATAAATTTAAAGAAAAATATTAGGTGAGTGATAGTGAGAGTAATAAAACTGGCAAACCAGGCTGAATGACTATGGTCTATTTCAGATTGACTCCAAATTTCAATGCCAACTAGTGAGACCTTGGCAAATACTTAACTTCCTTAACTTCCCATGCCTCCTCTATAAAACTGGTATTATAAGTGAATTTCACACATTTCTTAAAAACGTTAAATGAGGACATATTCATATGGAAAAGTAATTTGTAAATTAAAAAATACAGAAACAAATTGCATTATTAAGAATGGTTAGAAAGGAATCTGGTAGTATTTTAATCCCTGATGTGCTGTGCACCCTGCAAATTTTACAGTAGATTAATTGTGAACAGAAGCAGAAGAGGGAGAGAAATGTAGAACATAAGGACCAGAGACCTAACAGTTTAAAATTAATTCAGTGCATTTTAATTCTGAACTACTTAGTGTTCTTTATCCTCAGCAGTCTTACCTGAAAATTAGGTATAATTTTAGCACTTACCTCATAAAGATATTTCTGAGAATTAAGCAACACATTTAAAGCTTTTGGCACATGCATTCACTAAACGTAGTGGCATTACTGTACTAATAATTATTCAATATGACAAGTTAAACTAGAATTAGCTTCAACATGCCCTTCAAGTTTCTAAAAGTTTGGCAGATTAAATAAAGGGTAGAAAATATTTAGAGAACTCTCACATAAAACAATGGTAGAAAGGTCTCTCATATAGTAAAATAAAATAAAGTAAAATAAAGCAAGAAAACATTTGATAATGACAACAACACAATGATCCCAGGTAACCACCTGGGAAAATCAGGAGTATAACACATGGGTCATCTTTCTGTGGCTGATCTCAGTGGGAGGGGAGGAAGAGGGCCTGAGTCCAGCGGCTGATTAGAAATCAACTAAAGAATACAAATCCATGAGGTTGGTTGTCAAGGAGTTTTAGGAAAAAGGTGAAGGATAACAAGAACCAGCATATATACCATATTTCCAAAGCAAGAATCAAAGACTGAACGTCGCGTGAGAATTTTTAATTTAAATAACTAGGTCAGCTGTGCAGAACTAATGACCGTGTTGGTATAACATGCACTTCTAGTGTTTTATCTGTCACTGGGCCACTATTTCTATAATTTCACCTTGGCAACCAATTTACTATAAGTCACTTGAATGCTTAGCCACTGGCTATGGGACATTCCAGTGTCTGCCATAGCTCTGTGGTTTAATATTCATGCTGAAGTGCCAGACTGCCCGGATTTGAATCAACTTTGGTTTCTCACTAATAATCAGCTATGACTGTAGTGAATCACTTAACTTTTTTTTTTTTTAAAGATTTACTTATTTATTCATACAGAACTGGGGTACAGGCTAGAGATGCGGAGGGTGAGAGGCTTCACCAGAGACAGAGTGGGGAGCAGAACAGGCAGATCGACGAAGTACACTGCTGAGGGGAGCAGCAGGCGGGTCAGGAGAGGTCTGCCGCGCCATGTGGTCACCTCCGAGGCAGGCGGGAATCGAACTCATGCGGAAGTGGCTTTAGATTCTCAGTGCTGTGCTTTAACCCGCTGCGCCACCAGGGAGGGCCGAATCACTTAACTTTTATGCACTTCTTATGTAAAATAGAAGTGACATGAATATATTTAAAATATATATTTTTAGTGATGTAACAGGTTGGTCCCTAGGAAAAGGGGAAATTCCAGGTTCCCTGCCTCACCCAGAAGGAGGGTGGAGCTGAGCAGAGAAAAAGGAGGGTAGGAATGAGAAGAGAGAAGAAGAGAAGAAGGAAATGAAGCAGGGAGAAGGAAGAGACCTGAGGAAGCCACATGGAGCAGCAAGCATGTGAGGAAGAAACAGGGCTTGTTTCTTGACCCTGGACTGGTTAAGACAGATGTGGTGAGAGACCTGTAGGGAGGTGACTATGGCAGTGTTTATATTGATTTTGATTTTGCTCTTTTCCTCCCAGATTTGTTTGGCCATTTCTGACCCTTTCCATGGGTCCTGGCCAGACGGTGCTTTAGTCTTGTGGTGGGCCTTCAGCCTTGCTTTGGACCAGATGGGTAACTTCAGGTGTTTGATTTAGAAGTTGTATTTGTGTTCCGTATTGTATATTCACTGTATTAAAGTCCCTTTTCACTAAAGTTTTATATGTTTTGTCTTGTTGCGGCGGATGGCAGAACCCACTTAGAGCAGGCAGGTTTTGGGGCTTCAGGGGTGTGCCTCATTCCCCCTGTTCTGGAACAGATTTGGTGTCCTATAACAGGTTATCAATGTAAACACTGCCATAGTCACCTCCCTACAGGTATCTCACCCACATCTGCCTTAACCAGTCCACGGTCAGGAAAAAAACCCTGTTTCTTCCTCACATGCTTGCTGCTCCATGTGGCTTCCTCAGGTCTCCTCCTTCTCCCTGCTTCATTTCCTTCTTTTCTTCTTCTCTCTCTCATTCCTTCTCTCCTTTTTCTCTGCTCAGCTCCACCCTCCTTCTGGGTGGGGCAGGGAACCTGGAACTTCCCCTTTTCCTAGGGACCACCCTGTTACAATGTGAGGTTTAAAAAATGCTTCTAATAGTGTCACAGAGTAAGCCCTCAATAATTATTAACTATCACCACTATATCCATTTATTTTCCTAAAGCAGCAGTTCTCAGATTTTGCTGCATGGGAATCATTTGGAAAGCAAGTTAACAAACAGACCCACCCCTACCCCTGTGCCACTAGTCCCAGTCCTGCAATTTCTGTTTCTGTGAGTCTGGAATGCTTTTGCATTTTTAGCAAGGCCAGAGTGATGCTTCCTGAGAACTTCCTGAGAACTTCTGCCCCAAATCATTCACTTCAAATTCCCATCAAAGACTTAAAGACAGTGTAACTAAGGGAGTGGAGAGGGTCATTTTAGCTATATTAATTCAATGTTTCTGAATTACTGTACTGTAGGGGAGATTCTGGAGATTTTCTTCATGAACTTGGGTTGGGAGATGAAGAAGGGTGCAGAATGCATACCCCCCACCAAAACAAAAACAAAAACAAACAAACAAAAAACAATAGCACTATTGTTATCCCTTTCAGGAGAGTGGTTTCTCCAACTGGGCCAGAAAGAAATTTGAAACTGTAGGTATCATAGGTATCACAGGTTATCATCGGTACCTCCTGACCTTCAAATAGAATTTTAGGGAGCCACTGAACCCAAGACAGTCCCTGGTGACTAAAGCAAGTCCTAAACCAAAAAGGCCATCGTGTCAAGTGAAGGCCAAAACGGATTTAAACGTGCCCACTCTGAAACTAGTACGAAATGCTCATCCTGCTGGACTTGTCTGGAGAAATCCCAGGAAATAGAAATCACAGAAGAAGGCTCTCCCTCGCGCTGGGCCCCGCGGAGAACACAAAGTTAACGTCACCACCCACCCGCTCCTCCTTCCCTCCCAGGGCTCCAGCGGGCCCAGCGATGGGGCCCCGGGTGGGGAGCAGCAGAACTCGGACACCGACTGCAGCACGAGCCCGCTAGTCAGCTGGGCTGAGGTGAGGCTTGGTTCAGCCTGTCCTTGGAAAGGGGCTTACCTGCGCCCACGAGGAGCGGTTTGGCGTGGAAACGCGCCAGTCCCGGGTGGGGGGCTGGTTTTGTACGGTGGGGTCCGGGGCTCCCTGGACAGGAAAGGGTTTGCCGTCCCGGCAGGAGAGTGCGGGGTGAGCTAAAGCAAATGCCAGCGTTTACCTCCTCTGTAGCTACTGCAGGTGGGAGACCTTCTGAGGAAAGATTAATCAGCACTGATAGAGACCATCAGAGCAGGCACCTATGATAGTTTTGTCTAAAAAAGACAAATGGAGGAGAAAGTCCTGGGACTTGGGGGTAAAATGGAGTGACATTAATAGTTACATTTAAATGACAAGTTCGAGGAGAATTAAAGCACTCCGTTTTGTAGAAAGGAGATCAAAATTTGTACTTTGCCTTTGATTTCTCTATTAACAAACAACAGCTACAATGAACGAGCACTTAGGTCTAGATTTGGGCACCAGTTATAGTAACCTGAAACTGCCAGAGAGCCTCCAGGTCTCTCTCCAGATTATTATTCCTGAGCTGCAACCCAAATTAAACAAAAACTAAGCCATTGCTCACTTTGGAAGCAGAGAACATTTCCTCTTCAGGTTTCGTACCTTTTCCATTTTCAGTCTGCCTATGTCAGAAGAAGATTCAGGGCCAGGAGCGAGGAGCTCAGGTATTGTTCATTCTATTTCTTTATATACATTTTGAAGTTTCACTTTGTGGGAATCCACTATCGGTATGGTTGGTCTTGTAGACTTTTGATTCTCCCTTGAATGACTCATGTGGCAGATCCAGAACTTCTATTTCCTAACTGAGCGAGAGATTTACTTTCATACCGCTCTTCCTTTCTTTGCTTGTCTAATGGTAGAAAAGTTGAAATGCTGTCTCCAATCCATACAAATTTTATTTTAAATTGCTGTTACCAGATAGTTACAATGTCAGAAGTGGTTGTGTGATTCTTTATTAAATTTTAATCTAGACTAAATCCTAATAATAATTCTATTAACTTTTTGTCTATATTACAGTATAAGAAATTCAGTATTTGTGTTATTTCTAGTGTAGTTTATGGCTGAAGCACAGTTGCTATTAAGTCCAGAAGAAACCATTCTATTCCAAGGAAAACCTGGATTTATAAATTCTGAAGGTCATTTCTATTATGAAATAAATTTTATTATGCAAGACTTTTATGTTCTGAGAAAACTGGGTTTGATTCCTTGGACTTGCCTCACATGTGGGTAACAGAAACAATTTTTCCAACAAGCTGAGCATATTTTTCCCCTGATTTTGCTTCCCCCCACCCCCATGGCAGAAGTGAAGAAGGGCAGGGACCAAGAAAAGCAGAAGAGTAATATTCTAGGAGCAAAAGCAGACAGCATCCTGCCTAGGACCGGTAAGCATGAGCCACTGCAATGCAGGTATAAGGTTCCAGCCCCTTCCATCAGTAAGTTACTGTTGCTTATGGTCATTATTTGGCAGGCAAGAGTGCAATGTTTCCAAATTTTCTGTGATGCATTTAGCCTAATAGAACTAATGTACAAATAGGAAACTAAGCCTGTGGATATTATCATTAATAACACACTAATTAGTGATACATTAATATCACTAATATACATAATATACTAAACCTGTGTATATTATCACCATATCTTCATTTTGGTCTTTGTTTTCTCTCTCAAATGAATCTTAAGTTATAAGATTAGCTGGTTGTCATCAAGAAGTATAAAGTTATGAAGGAATTTTCACAACAGTATGTTGTGATCACAAAGTTCTATGGATTTTATAAGTTTTACTGTAGATGTTGTTAATGAAATGGATGATTTATGACCCTCTGGGAAGGCCTTGAGATTATCAGAGCTGCTGTGAGCAGTCTACTTGGACTTTACTGAAATCATTCTCACTTAAAGGTATGATTCTTTTCAGGATAGAGATGAATGTCACGAGAATCACCTGTTTACTGGTTTCCTACTCTCTGATGTGCCTGGTGTCCCCTCCTGTGGGCAGGGCCTGTCCTGCCCGCTGTGCCTGTTATGTACCTACAGAGGTTCACTGCACCTTCCGCTACCTGACCGCCATGCCAGCCCACATCCCACCGAACGTGGAGCGTGTCAACTTAGGGTTTGTGGCACTCTCATCTCCTTTTCAAGGGATTGAGCAGCTGGTGACCTGTCACCCAAACACTGTGACTTTGGAAGATTAGCCACATCGTTTTAACAATATTTCTCGTCTGAAAAGAGTTCATGAAGATCTTAAATTTGTGAGAGGCAATAAGTGAAGTTCTCCTGGTAAACTTTTACTAGCAGATAGTGCTAGAAACCAAATCACTTGATAGTTTGGGTGGCCTGTGATTATAGAAAAGCTTCATGCTGGCTACTTTTTTACTGGAAAACATTTAAAAGTTAAGGTGATGATATATCACAAAGATGACAGGGCAACTGGAAGTGACCCCTAGCTAGGTATGAAAAGTCAATTAGATTCCTTTTTAAAGCCTTTTGACTTTTTTATAAGCATTTAAATTAATTTAATCTACTAAAAGGTGATTTTATTTGAAAGGTTCATGAAAAGTGCTGTGTGTAAGTGAACACACATGTGGTTTGACTTACTTTACATTAGTGAGCGCCATTATTGTGCCAAACAGAATGGATGGTGATGAGAATACCATTCTAGAAGCTACAGTTAAAGGGAAAAAGCAGATATCAGTCAGTACAATTTAATATGAACTGTAGTAGAGCATTCAAAGTGCCTTAGGAACAATCAATAAAAATACTTAATATTGTGTTCTTAGTATTCTAGCTTTGAGCAAAACCATGCTACATGTGCTCTATTTCTTAATCCTCATAATCTTTTTAGAATCAGCCCTAATATTCATAAATAATAGATGGGAGACACTGAGGCACAAAAAGTGTCTTGAGTTTACCCAGGGTGGCACCATAACCAGCACCCTGAGTTGATAAGCATGGCCAAATCATTTGACTTCAGAGCCCAGGCTCCTTAGCCAATACTTCATTATTATTATTATTTATTTTTACATCATTCTTCATTTTGTGCATTTTTTCATCTCAGTTGTAATCCCAACGGGCTTCCCACCACCGATTCACCTGTGCAGTCTTCCCACCCCAGTTTTGATCATGTTTCCTTCCCTCTTCACCCGCATAAAATATATCTGACTTATAGTTGTTCATTGTTTTCATTTTTACTTTATTACAATTGCTTTATTTTTTTCCTGATTCCCTTATGTCCCTGCTATGAGTGAAACCATCCGGTATTTTTCTTTTTCTTTCTGGCTTATTTCACTAAGCATGATCTCTTCCAGCTCCATCCATGTTGCTGAAAAAAAGCAGTACTTTATAATGATGAATTCCACCTAAGAGAGTGGAGGGAAGTATCACATGAGAGTGGGAGGAGGAGTTGTAATAGTGTTCTCAGAGAGAGTTGGAGTCAAAGATATTCCAACCTGAAGAAACAACATATATTTAAATATTTGAAAATGAGAAAGAATATTCTGGGGATGTGAATGAGTAAAAGACTGCAAGGTCTCTGGGCATCTGATGAATTTCAATAAGTTTTTAAACACTGAGCATGGTGATTAGAGGGAGATGTGTGTGTGTGTGTGTGCATTTTGACATTTGAACTTTAGTTGAAAAGTTTAGCTAATGCTTAGAATAACAATTTTGTTTAGGTACAACAACTTGGTTAGACTGACAGAGACTGACTTTTCTGGCCTACACAAATTAGAGTTACTACTGCTACACAGCAATGGGATTCACACACTCCCTGATAAGACCTTCTCGGATTTACAGGCCCTGCAGGTAAGACAAGAGGGTGGCAAGGCACGTTTAATGGGTGACTGGTATTTCCAAAAACTATCCATTCTTATATAACTCAAAAACCTAGTAGTCTATAAATTGGAAGTGGAGGATGTCAGTGAACTGATTTCTTTAGAGATGCAACAATATGTAGAAATTAGCATAATAAGAATATTCTGAAACAGACATTCTCATATTTCAGACTACTAGAAAAAAAAGTCAAGACCTGGAGACTACTAAACATTTAAAATTTAATCCTGAAAGGCTGCTTCTAGTCATCTTCATCTAAGAATCAAATGTGGTTCCTAAGAACAATTGCTATTTTATAAATTAATTTTTTATATATCAATGTATTTTTTAAACTTTTACTTTGCTATGTATTTATGTCCTGCCTGGTTCAATTTTTTTTTTTTTTAAGCTTTGGGTACTTCCAAGAATGCATCAAATATTGTAAGAATTATGACTCCAGTAGGTGAGAGAATAAAAGGTAAAAGAAAGCCAGGGATAAGAACAATAGTCCACAGGCAATGCAGCTGTGAAGATTGTATGTTTTCTATAAGTAAGACTTTAAGCTTTCCAGACACTAACTCACAATTCACAATATCTATTAATTTTTTTAATAAATAAAGCTATTGTGCAGAAAATTTTCTTCCAAAGGACCTCACAAAGTAGCTATGATATAAAGAGTAATATCCTCATAAATGAAAAGTATCCATAGATTTTGACACCCTAACAGGTCTGTGTAAAACAATGGAATATAGTCTAGGAGTCTAGGCTTTTCTTGATTTAGCTTAATTGGATTTTATTTAGAATATATGTCTTCAGAGGATTAGAAGGAATACATACTTTTTTTTAAAAAGATTTATTTACTTGTGCATACAGTACTGGAGTACAGGCCAGAGGTTCAGGGGCGGCGAGAGGCTTCACCATAGACAGAGCGGGGAGCAGAACAGGCAGATTGACAAAGTACACTGCTGAGGGGAGCAGTGGGCGGGTCAGGAAAGGTCTGCCATGCCATGTGGTCACCTCCGGGGCAGGCGGGAATCGAACTCATATGGAAGTGGCTTTAGCTTCTCAGTGCTGTGCTTTAACCCGCTGCACCACCAGGGAGGGCCGGAATACATACTTTTTGTCAAATTATCTGTCTATCTATCTATCTGAGGGATATTGAGTTGAAGATTGTACTTTCATGTAATATTTGGGGCAAAACTCTTCAATGCTGTCAACTTAATTTTTCAGTTTTTATTATGGAAATTGGAATTCCAGAAAAGCATTCTCAAAGAAAAAGGACAGGTTAGGCCAAATCAGGAAATATAAGAAACCATTATTTTTGCTAGTAGTTAGCTTTCTTTTCTTTTTTGGGAGAAAAGTATGTTTGAATTGAAACTAGAAAAGGAATTAGAGAATACTAGCTCACTTTTGAAATGCTAAAAATTATTTTAATTTCAATTCAAAATCAATTATTCATAATAGTCTAAGAATTTAAAACACCTCAAATGTCCATCTACAAACAAAATGTGACAAAATAAATGTGTTCTTTTTATATTTAGGTCTTAAAAATGAGCTATAACAAAGTCCAAAAACTTGAGAAAGACACTTTTTATGGCCTGAGAAGCTTGACTCGGTTGTACATGGACCACAACGATATTGAATTTATAAATCCAGAGGCTTTTTATGGACTCATCTTTCTCCGACTGGTACACTTGGAAGGAAATAAGCTCACAAAACTGCATCCAGATACATTTGTCTCTCTGCGCTACTTCCAGATATTTAAGACATCTTACATTAAATATCTCTATTTGTCTGATAACTTCCTGAGCTCCCTCCCTCAAGAGATGGTCTCCTACATGCCTGACCTGGAAAGTCTCTATCTTCATGGGAACCCCTGGACCTGTGACTGCCACTTAAGATGGTTGTCTGACTGGATACTGGAGAAGCCAGGTACATATTGCTTTTTTCTTTATTCTAATTGAACAGAGGTATAGAAGGATTCCATTTTTTCCACCTCCTCACCATCTCTTGTTATCCCCCCCTTTTTTTTTTCAACATGAATGATTCTCAATGGGTATGAGAAAGTACCTCATTGCGGTTTTGATTTGCATTTCTCTGATAAGGGTGAGCATTTCTTTTCATGTGCCTATCAGCCAATTATATATATATTTTTTGACAAGTATATATCTTTTCTCATTTTTTGTTTGGGGTGTTTTCCTTTCCATTGACTTGCACGAGTTGTTTATATATTTTGAATATCAGCCCTTGGTATAATGTGTTAGGTGCAAATTTTTTTAAAAAAATTATTTATTTATTCATACAGAACTGGGGTACAGACCTGGTGCTCAGGGGTAGTGAGAGGCTTCACCAGAGACAGAACGGGGAGCAGAACAGGCAGATCAATGAAGTACTCTGCTGAGGGGAACAGTGGGCAGGTCAGGAGAGGTCTGCCACACCATGTGGATCACCTCGGGGTGGGCAGGGATTGAACTCATGCTGAAGTAGCTTTAGCTTCCTAGTGCTGTGTTTTAACCCGCTGTACCAGGGAGGGCCCGGTGCAAATATTTTTTTTCATTCAGTAGAGTGTCTTTGTTTTACTGATAGTTTATTTCATTACATAGAAGGTTTTTTGGATAGAAATAATTCTATTTGTTTGTATTTGCTTCTCTTGCCACTGGAGATTAGTACACAAAGGCATCTCTGAAGCAAATGTCATGGAGGTTTTACTTATTTTTTCCTTAATGTAATTTATAGTTTTGAGACTTATATCCCATTTAATCAATTTGAAAAACCCATTTTTGTGTAAGGTGTGAGATGGGGATCTAGATTCATTCTTTTGTGTGTGACTGTCCAGTTTTCCCAGCACCGTCTATCGAAGAATCTCTCTTTATTCCAGTGTATACTCTTGGCTACTCTCATTAGCTGCCCATATATATGTGGGTTTATTTCTGTGGTCTTAATTCTATTCCATTAATCATGAGTCTGGTTTTGTTCCAGTATCATCCTGTTTTAATTACTATAAGTTTGTATTACTGTTTGAAGTCTGAGAGTGTGATACCATCATACTTCCTCTTGATTTTTTTTTCAGGAATGCTAAGACATAGCCTAAGAGGCTGTATGAATTTCAATATTGTTTTATTTATTTATTTGAAGAATGTTATTGGAGACATGACAGTGATTGCTTTGAATCTATATAATGCTTTGGGTAGGATAGCTATTTTACCAGTTTTTTTTTTCTTTCAATCCACTTTCAAGGTTCACATTTCCATTTTATTGTATCTTCTCTTTCCTTTAACAATATCTTATCATGGCCATTGTATAGATTCTTCACTTCCATTCTTATGTTTACTCCCAGATATTTTACCATGTTTAATGTGACTGCAAGTGAAATGGTTTTATGGATTTTCTCTTCAAATGTATTGTTTACATACAGAAATGCAACTGATTTTTGCTGATTAAATTTGTACCCTGACACTTTACTGACACCTCAGCATTTTCCATGTATATTGTCAGGTCATCTGAAAATAATGAAAGCTTTATTTTTTCTTTCCTGATCTGTAATACTTTCATATCTTTCTCGTCCAATTGCTCTAGCTAGGACTCCTCAAATTAGGAGTTGAATAGTAGTGGTGAAAGTGGATATCCTTGACTTGTCCCAAACCTTAGAGGAAAGCTTTTAGTTTTTCACCATAAGTATGATGTTGCTTGTAGGTTTTTGCTTTTAGTATATTGATATATGTTACATTTATGCCCAGCTTTTTGAAAGTTTTATGATAAATGGATGTTGAATCATATAAATGCTGTCTCTGCATCTATTGATAGAGTCCTATGACTTTTATATTCAGTTTTGTTAATTGGAAGAATTACATTGGTTAATATTTGGATGGTGAGCCATCATTGTGGCCCAGGAATAAATCCCAGCTGGCTATAATGTACAATCCTTTTAATACATTGTTAGATTCAGCTTGCTAAGATTTTGGTGAGGATATTTATATCTCAGTTCATCGAAGAAATTGGCCTAGAATTCCAATTTTTTGTGACATCTGTCAGATTTTGCTGTAAAGTGATGTTGGCTTTATAAAATGTACTGGAAAGCTTCCCTCTTTCTCCATCTTGTTGGAAGATTTTGAATGGTGTAAGTATTAGCTCACCTTTGAAAGTTTGGTAGAACTCACTAGTGAAACCATCTGAGGCTGGATTTTTATTCTTTGCAGACTTGATTACTGTTTCAGTTTCCTCAGTTGTGGCTGATCTGTACAGGTTTTCTGTTTCTTCCTAGTTCAGCCTTTTGTAGTCTCCTATTAAGTACAGACTGAAGTTTGTGCTGGCTAGTGAGGTGGATGGGTGAGTGACTTAAACTCCTGGGAGCCTGGAAACCATGCTGGGGGTGATCATGTGAATTTCTCTGTTGCATTGGGCAACAACAAACTGACAAAGAAACGGGAATCATGGAGCAGGCTACTTAATACAGGATGCTGCTGAAGAGCAAGATCCTAGCCTTTATACTGGTAAGCTAATCAGACAGTATTAATCATGCGAGGAAGTAAAAAAGAAAGGGAGAATTAGAAAAAGCTGTGGGAAAGGAAAGGTAGAACTGTGCATCTGCTGATAGTCTGGTATGTAGAACACCCCTGACTACCCAGTCAGAATTTCAATCTTATCAATAAGGCATTCCACAGATCACCTTCCAGAGTCCTTCATTATATATCAGTCAATGGCGCCTTGGGCATTCTCCATCATACTTCATGATATATATAAGTCAGGAGTAAGTTTATGCATTTGTTCTCAGCCTCCTGTGCATATCTGGTCATACTTTGTGATGCATATCCTCCCAGGGTGATCTAGCTTTCTGCTTTTAATTGATGTGAAAGGTGTCTCATAGGGTGAGCTCTTAAAATGGAGGCTGGATAAGCCACCTAGAATTAGCAGACCCACATCTCTCTACTGCTGACCATGCCTGACTGTCTTTCCTTCTCTTTCTGGTGGTTTCTGGCTCTCCTTCCTGCTGAGACACTGATTTCACTTCCCAGTTCTATTCTAGAACTGGTCATTCTCTCGGGCACTTACTCTTGGTATTCCTGAAGGTAGAGATGACTCAAGGATATTGTGTGTACTACATCTTCCTCTGAGGTACTATCATAATTGTTAATTGCCATTTAGCTCAAAAAGGTTGTAAGTAATAAAAGAATCTCAGGCCTCCCTGGTAGCATAGGGATTAAGTCTCTGCAATCACCACAATGGTCTGAGTTTGATTCTGACCAGGGAACTAACCCATATGATACAGAAGACCTCTCCTGTCTCACCCACTGCTCCCCTCAGCAGAAAAAGAGGAAACTCTGTCGGAGACTAGCTCCAACTTTTGAGGTG